TAAGATAACAAGAATAAAGATGTGTATTCACTAACATTTTGAACAACTACTAAATTGAAAAACAAGTACTCTATCGAGAATCTTCTAAATCTATTGCAGTTCATACATCGAGATGTAAATGAGAAATTCACTTAAAGTAAATCTTTACACGATCGAAAAATGAAACAAAATAATTTAGTCACATTGGAATGAATAAAATCTAATAATCTATTATAAATATGCAGTATTTGGAGATGTAGAATAGTACTTTTAGCTTAAGGTGACAAAATTATCTTGTTCTAACATAATGCTAGTTATTCATAACCTGTGTCAGTTTATAAGAAAAATGACTGGAGGCAGAAGATCAAAGAAAAGAGATCGAGAACAAAGAATGACTGGTGTGGAGACGAAAGAACAATGGAGTCTGAGAGGATTGACTGACATTATGCAAATGATGTATTTACTGTATGTTCCTCAGATTTTACCAAGAGGTTCTGTAATTTTATATTTAAATATATTCGATTGTCCCTACTTGTGTTTTCTCCACTACACAAGTACTTTGACACCTACACCATCGCTCAACCACTCATTAACATTATTTACTATCTATCCTTAAAGAAGAAGTCGATTTTATGCTTCAGTGCTACCTCACCTATCTATTTGTACTCAGTAAGTAAACTAACTTTTAGGATCTACGGACATTACAATTAAGCTTTTCAATACTTATTGTATTTATAGCATCTCTAACGAAAAGTGGTTTTAAACTTCGATTCCAACTGAATTTACCATGAATAGCTCTTGCTCTAGTTGTACTGTTTGAACTGGGTGTAAATCAAACTTAGTTGAACTACTTGAAAAATGATATGTCATTAACGATCATTCGGAAATTCACTGAACATAAGGCCAAAGGTTGGATTTAATTTGATTAATATAACAGCATTCGTATTCGTGTGTTTGACCACAAACGAAGGATGTTACGTAAGGAAATTGGGCAAAGCTTGCGTAAGGACCGAGAAGCCTGGTGGTCGAAGCGTGCTAATAAGTTGGAAGCAGCAGTTGCATCTGGTAACTACCGGAAGCCCTTTCAACTTATCCGAGCAACTGGCAGCAAGAAGTCTGGTGTGAGCGAAACAATCTACGAGGATGATGGGATGCTAATCACTAACATCCATCGACGTCTTGGGCGAAGGGCAGAATTCTCCGAAGGGCAGTCCAACTGGCCTGCTGCTCCTGCAACAACGATCAGACTGTCCTGCCCTCCATGGCCGACGACGACGACTGGATCACCAAATGAGGCGGAAGTCCGCAAGGAACTTCAACTCTTGAGGCGCTACAAATCACTAGGCCCAGATGACTTACCTCCGACTCTTTTTAAAGATGGTAGTGACTTTCTGGCTAAGGAATTGACGACGTTGTTTACAAAGGTTTAGGAACTAGAGAGTGTACCAACGTCATGGAATGAGTCGATAGTTGTCCCTATCTTTAAAAAGGGTTCACGTCATTCCTGTAACAACTATCGGAGGACAGGTCTACTTCCCATCGCGTCAAAGCTATTGACTTCTGTCATATTTCGTAGGTTGTTCAAAACTCGAGAAAGATTGGCTCGCAAGGAGTAGGCTGGGTTTCGTTCTGGTCAAGGATGTATTGATCATATCTTCACCCTACGCCAAATGTTAAAACACCGTCATACTTATCACAGGTCAACAATCGTAATGTTTCTTGACATCAGGGCTGCCTTCGATTCGTTGGATAGCACTGTTCTCTGGGATTGCCTATTGAATAAGGGTGTGCCTGAGAAGTTTATTAACATCCTAAAAGCCCTATATAAAAACACCTCAGGCAGAGTGAGGGCATACAACCACCTCTCTCCATTGTTCCATTCAAGCAGTGGGGTTAGACAGGGTTGCCCAATCTCACCATTCCTCTTCGACTTTGCCATCGACGACATACTGGAAACAGCTCTGATGGATGTAAGTAATGGTGGTGTGGATCTGTTGCCTGGAGAAAGACTTCTCGACCTTGAGTATGCGGACAATATTGTCTTACTGTGCGATAATGCCCAAGGCATGCAATCCGCATTTAATCAGTTGGCAATCAGTGTCCGTAAGTATGGTATGTGCTTTGCACCTTCGAAGTGAAAAGTACTTCTACAAGACTGGCAGGATTCTAATCCTGTACTCACCCTGGATGGTGAGCAGATAGAAGTAGTCGAGAAGTTCGTGTATCTGGGTAGCTGCATAAGTGCTGGTGGGGGTGTGAGTGATGAGATCAATGCACGTATAGTGAAAGCTAGAGCGGCTTATGCCAATTTGGGCCACCTTTGGCGCCTTCGTGATGTTAGTCTGGCTGTAAAAGGTCGGATCTACAACGCGTCGGTGAGAGCAGTTCTGCTCTATGTTTGTGAAACCTGGCCTCTCCGAGTTGAGGACGTTAGAAGACTCTCTGTGTTCGATCATCGTTGTCTCCGAAGGATTGCTGACATCCAGTGGCAACATCAGTTTAGTAATGCAGAGGTTCGGCATCGTGTGTTCGGGCACAGAGACGTTAATCCAATTGGTGTCACTATCTTGAGACATCGACTTTGGTGGCTTGGATATGTTCTACGAATGTCGTCACAAAGAATTTCACGTCATGCATTATTTGCCGACTCTGGGACTGGTTGGAAGAAGCGGAGAGGTGGTCAGTGCATGACATGGTGTCGTGGTATGAAAGAAAGCTGCAAAGGACTGGCTTCTGTCGGTCCTTCACGACTCCCTGGCTGGGGTCTGAGAGATGATGGAACACAGTGGCTAGAGACGTTATCAGATATGGCTCAGAATAGAAGCCAGTGGAGATCCTGCTGTAACCTTCTTTTACTTTATTCATAAATTGTGGTTGTATCTTCCTTAACCGAAAGATTTCTTCTGATTGTACCTTTCTGTTTCTCCCATTATTATTACACCATCTTACACCAATCTGTTCTTTTCATTTTTTTTATTTTACGCTCCTTACCCTGTTTTGCTTCTATTCTCGTTCCCGTTTTTTTGTGTGGCGCATATATATTTAGTGCCCCCTTGTACCAATATTTATGTGATCAAATAAATAAATAATGCTAATCATAATTTAATTTTTAGAATCTAGTTAGATAATACAGGCATTTGTTCGTTTCGTATATAATTTACTGAACCAAAACCACAGTACACTTCCATGTACTAAATTGTTAGATACATTGAGTGTACCCTCAAACTGAATTGGATAGACAGGTAATCAAACTCGCAATATAGCGGTCAAAACAGATTGCTTAAACTATTAAGATTCCAAAAGTACTACACTGTAAATCATAATACATTTATGGTATAGACTATTTAGTAGAAAAGTGTATTACTTAATGGTTGAAATTTACAATTGACAAGATGAGAGTCATTTGTTACTACAGTAGTTCAGACAGCGGTGTCATTAGGTATACCTGTTAATGACCCAACGTCAAATCTGAGATCAGTTGCAAAAATTTCGACCCAACGTTAAGGAGCGATTAGAATTATCAAGTAGCGTACGTCTCACAAAAGTTAACACGTACAGTGATCAATGATCTTTCCTACATTTTATAACAAATATATTTTCTCTGGTGATTTCATCTCAATAAATAAACTGATAAGTAGTTAATTATTTAGTCAGTCAGTCAGTCAACTAAAACGTAGGACCAGGCACATATGTGCATCGGTCCAGGTTGCCATACCGCATCAGCACAAGATGAACACCGGATTCACAGCAGTGGTTAGGTCAAACGTGGTAATATATAAGAGAAAGATTGCATATAGAGATATAGTACAAGAAGAAAGAATTGGTTCGTAGAAAGAAAGATATGAAGTGATTTTAATCTCGTAGTTTAAGGGAAGACAGGGAGTGTATACACCGACGCCATTGTGATCGATTCTGAGCCATGTCACCAAGAGCCTCCAACCATTGGTTAGGATAGTCACGCGGACCCCAACCAAGTAGTCTGCATCTACCAACATGGCTCAGACTAGAAGTTAGTGACTTCAAGCACTGATGCCACGTTTTGGTTTGGCCGCCCCTAACTTTCTTCCAACCATCTCCAATACCGGATAGCATTGCACGTCGTGGTAGTCGGTGTTCAGGCATACGTAACACGTGGCCCAACCATCTCAGTCGATGAAGATTCATAGCCTCATCAACTGATTTACCATCATTCCCTAATAACCTGCGTCTCACCTCACTATTACTTACCCGGTGATCCCAGCAGATGCCAGCAATATTTCTAAGGCATCTGTGGTCAAATACTAATAGCTTACGAGTGTCTTCTACTCTTAATGGCCATGTTTCGCTGCCGTAAATTAAAACAGAACGGACTGCCGCGCAGTATACCCGTCCTTTTATTGATAGACGGATATCTCGCCTTCGCCACAGGTGACGTAAGTTGGCAAAAGCTAAGCGAGCTTTTCGAATCCGTGCTGAGATTTCGTCAGATACCAACCCATTAGGGCTGATCAGACTTCCAAGATAAGTGAAGTTGCCAACGCGTTCGACTACTTCACTCCCTATCCTTAGTTCAGGTGTTGACGCAGACCAGTCCTGAAGCAACAACTTGCATTTAGAGGTGGAGAAATGCATCCCAAACATCCTGACATTGTTGTTTAATGCGACCAAAAGACTCTGCATTTTATCAGCGTCTTCAGCAAACAAGACGATGTCATCTGCGTATTCTAAGTCTATAAGTGCACCTCCTGGAAGATCAATATCTGAGAATACAGTGGTCTAGGGTGCTGTTAGAGGTGTGAGGGCGGTTATCGCTTCCCGGTTGCCCACACCGAGGAAGGGTTCTTCTGGAGGTACCTGAAAAGGAAATTGGATTAGAGGTGGTATTCATCAGGTCAATCACTAAGATTTAAAGTAGTTAAGAATTAGTGCTAAATTATTTCCAGACTTTCTTATAAGATCGAAACAATTGCGTGTTTTGGTATATTACTCAGGAGTGGTACTAGTATTCATATGAATGACAATAACAATAATAATGGTAAATAACGAACATATTTAAACCATTTTCAAAAAGTTGACTTTATATTAACAAATATTTGATAAAAAGTTCATGCAAAACAAATTCCACAAGTTATTAAGTTTATTAATATCGTTAGCTTAAAAGTATTTCTTACACTTACAAAACTGAACAACAGTCTGTTTTTTATATGAATTAAATGAAATAAGAGGTGGTAGTTTACAGTTAATTCCAGTTACTAAAACAAATAAGTACACATGTACAACCAATTAAGTTAACCACCAAGTCATACAATTTTCAATGAACAAAAGAATCGTAATTTGACTATATCAAATTTAATAAAAGACTCTATAAGTGGACACAATGAACAAAAACATAAAAAAAAGAACAATAACGCAAAGCAATAGAGATCAGCAACACAGAAAAAGTAGCAAAATTAGGTAATAATGAATTTAGTTAGCGGAATTATCATCAAAGTATGCCAGCAAAACACAATATATTGTTTTCTTTTAGCAATTGTTATTTGGAATACATCGTGGATGAAGATGGATGTGGGGGAGAGAAGTTATTCAACTGACACTGAACAGATAGATAAACAGAAATTAGTATTTACGTTTTCATACATATAAGTTATGCGATTTATAAAAAAAAATGTATTTTGTGGACAAAATTCTAATCAAGTAAAATTACACGAATCACATGAGAAATAAAATAAATCACGATATAAATGTCCAGTGGTTTAATTTGAAGATAAAAAGGTTTCAGACAAACATCCCAGCCGTTTAAGTTTATCTGTTCAGGCTATCTAGCAAGAACTTTACAATGAATGGCAAGCAAAGGGAATTAGAGTTTTCAAAATTAGTTATTTTAGGAGAAACAGCTGTCTGAATCGATGCCCCTTATGACAACCAGAGCAACCACTTATTTAAGTACATGGAGTGCTCGTACAATGTGGGACACCGGGAGAGTCTTCCAAATTGCTGCAGAAATGAGGAGGTACAACCTGGAGATGTTTGGAATCAGTGAAACACATTGTACGCAAGTTGGACAACAATGACTAGCTTCAAAGGAGCTTCTATTATACTTCGGCCATGAAGGAGAAAATGCCTCACATAGATAGGCAGTTACATTGATGCTGTCTGAACAAGAACAAAATGCACTTATAGGATGGGAATCTCATGGACTAAGGATCATCAAAACCCCCTTCAAAACAAAGAAAGAGGGCATTACAGTGAACGGCATCCAATGCTATGCGCCTACCAACGACTACAATGAAGACGCTAAATATCAATTCTACAATAGGCTGCAGTCAATCATCGAGAAGTGCCCAACAAAGGACTTGACCATTCTGATGGGAGATTTCAATGCCAAGGTTGGAACGGACAACACTGGATATGAAGACATCATGGGACGACACGGACTTGGAGAAAGAAACGAAAATGGTGAGAGATTTGCAAATCTATGTGCCTTCAATAAGCTGGTCATAGGCGGCACCATATTCCCACATAAACGTATACACAAAACCACATGGACTTCACCAGATCACTCTACACAAAACCAAATCGACCATATTTGCATCAACAAAACGTTCAGGAGGACTATAGAGGACGTGAGAACCAAGAGAGGAGCTGATATAGCATCAGATCATCATCTGCCGGTCGCCAAGTTGAAATTTAAACTTAAGAAGCACTGGAAACGGGGCGGAAAACACAAATGTTTAATACGGATTTCCTTTGGGATACTGACAAACTCAACAACTGGAACTCAAAACAACCATCAACCAACACCAAGGTCAGGACTTTCAATACAAATGTCAAGACAGTTCTACTGTATGGGACGGAAACCTGGAGAACTACGAAAGCCATCATCCAGAAAATACAGGTGTTTATTAACAATTGTCTACGCAAAATACTTCAGATCCATTGGCCGGACACTATTAGCAACAACGTACTGTGGGAGAGAACAAACCAGATCCCAGTGGAGGAAGAAATCAGGAAGAAGCGCTGGATGTGGATAGGACACACATTGAGGAAAGCACCCAACTGCGTCACAAGACAAGCCCTCACATGGAATCCTCAAGGCCAAAGGAGAAGAGGAAGACCAAAGAATACATTACGCTAGGAAATGGAGATAGACATGAGAAAAATGAACAAGAATTGGATGGAACTAGAAAGGAAGGCCTAGGACAGAGTGGGTTGGGGAATGCTGGTCAGCGGCCTATGCTCTCTTGGGAGTAACAGGCGGAAGTAAGTATGCAATCTGAATACAAACTGGTAATAGTTGATATACGACAAATGAGTGACCGTCTAGTATGCTACATTGTAAATCATTATGTAATTTGCTCGACCAAAGCAATAATCTTTAGCTCCTGTGGAATGTTACAACGAAACAGATGTAATTGGGATTCCGTAAAAAATCTTACTAGTTTAACTATCGGTTTGATTAATCTTAACCGTACCCAGTAGTTTTGTCAAGTAGATTAAAGTTTCATAAAAATGGGGAGCTACATGGCAAGTTAACAAGTAGAAATGCTTCAGAACTCTAGTAGTGTAATAGAATTTGACATGAAGTAACGTTATTTTATTACTGACCTACTTAACCGAGGAGTAACACCTGATAATTACAGTGAAGTTAACAACTGGTTAGCAATTTTAAATATCTGAACGAGTAGAGTATGCTTATTTCCAATATGTTTCCTCGAGTTGTTTCTGACAGGATATGAATGAACTAACTTCTGCACTAAACAACAATAACCATATAAATACGCTCTTAGAAGCCTTTAGTTGAAACTCAATTTCCTCAATAATGAAGCAAAAAGATATGGATACGAATGTCCGAAATAGTATGTCATGATTTAGTATCACTTAGTCTTCTCTTAAACGACTTTACTTTAAAAAATGTAATATAAGAGGTGAATTTAAATAAAAACAATTATTCACAGTGTGTTAAATATAACTGTTAATACAAACGTAAGACAACTGAATTACTAGATTCAAGGCCTACATTATAAATGATCAAACTTTAATTTCTCACTACAAAGTAGCATAGGTTATTGGCTAATAGGTGTTTATCTTCATAGCTGTGTTATGGTCACTTAATTTTGTATTCCTTTAAGCCAACTTCGTGACTTATAAATTATTCGCATGTCGAATTCGCCTAACTATCAGTCACCAATTTATTCCAAAGATATCAATGATTTTTTGAAGATTCGACCTATATATGACGAACTTGGTTATGTTCACTAACATCAGATGAGCTGTAAATAGTTTAACCACTTAAAATCCTTCATGTACGCTACAGAAAACAGAATGGCTATTCTATTCAACGTAATGATGATGATTACAGTTAACTTTGTATAAGACATTTGAATAACTAATCATCATTAGTTTGACGTCATACATACTGTAATAAATTTATCAGCGTGTTAAAAAGTTCAGTTTTTATTGATGCTTTGGTATTTTAAGAGAAACCCATAACTTTCAACAGGATGAGTTGTTTATATTTCAGGAGTACTTTACTACGCTGAGAGAGAAGTTTAATAGAACTTTAGCAAGAATTTTGAACAACTATATGTTAGTTGTAGAAACTTAGATGATAAACAGCTTTCTTAAGTTGCTTCAAGATAAGCGAATAATAATAAGTGACATTTTAAGTTACATAAAATATGATGCCTTTCATGATAAACTATAAAATCCACAGCAAAGTGCTTAATTCAAAGAGACAAAGAAAAACGTAGTCAACAGAATTAAATAATTGTCCTAGTTTTTTTTATAAAAAACTTTGACTACTTTTATCTAGATTGACCAGAACAGAGACTTAGCAGTGTGTATGACTCAGATTTGGAGTTGTGAATTTAAGCACTTTTCCATGTACTTTTACCTGGACAACCATGTGATATCAGCAGTCTGTTAAAGAAAGAGTTGTGAATTAAAAATGATAACAAGAACCGGCAATTAGTTACAAAGCTACATTGCATCATAATGTGAAAGAATAATTTATTGAACCACAACTTATTTGGATAGCATGCTAAAGAAGATGGCGTTTGTTTTAAAAATAATAAAGTACCCTGAATTATCGGCCTGAGGATATACATTCTCATTAACGAGAAGAATGAGTTTTTTTTAATGTGCCGAACAGTTCACAATGAAAATGATAAATTCTTACGTGCAAGAGACTTCTGATATACTGTTATCATCGTCTCTATCATCATCCTCTCGATAAGTATTTCTTCGTTCCTCTTGTCCTGGCTCTTCTCGCTCACTTAATGTTTCATTTACTGTTGACTGTGAATTGATTGAATGAACTTCAATAGGGAAAAAATCAATTAACCATGGAGTAGTTACAACGTCGGAATCAGAAAAAGTGGCACTAATTGGTATTCTTCGTGTACGAATATGTCTTATATGTCGACTATGACTAGACCGTATTCGACGTGAACGATTAAGTCTACATTGTGTATTCTTCTCTACTGAAGTAGCATTAGGCTCATCATCATCAGAACTCAAGTCACTATTGAATATGATAGCAGCGATTGATGGTTGAAAAGAGGTTTCTTCATCAGTTAAACTTCCTGTTTTTGTTCGTTTTTGCTTAGGTGCTTGAGAACAACCTAACTGACAAGACAAATCAATGGATTCATTCCCAGTACGTTTTTGACTATCAGTTTGACCAACTCCTTCAATACTTTCATTCACTAAATTCACGTTATTCAGAACAGATTCACTATGCAATGTGTCGTCAAGACTTCCAGCAGGATGATTGGCATTAGTATGGGTTTCGTTTCCAGAAGGTTGCAGTGCAGAATAAGAATCTCTCTCGAAATTGATGTTGTCATGGTTATTATTATGATCATCATCGTCATCATCACTGGATTCATTCTCTTCTTCGTTATTCCGTTCATCAGTACAATCGCGATTTCTCGATCTTCTAGCTCTATTAGAATCAAAATCAAGACCACGAAAATTATAACCCATATTTAACAACATTATTTCCAGAGGATCAGCGTTAGAACGTTGTTGATTCCGTTCGGCTGCTCCAACTTGATCTCTAACAACTCGTGATTGATCAGGGTCTTCCTGGAAATAAAAGGTCACATTGAATATTCCTCTTAACAAAAATAAATAAATAGATACAAGAAATTCTTTCTCAGATGAAAAATACGAAAAATCTGTTTTACTATAGTCAAATTCATTTCAACTCTCACCAATCAGAAAGTCGCAACAAGGGAAACAATTTATCTTTACATAAGCGTGATTACGGCTGATAATAAACTATGTAATTCGAAAACGAAGCTATTCAAAAATGTTGGCATGGTGATTACCTAAGTATAACGACTAAAATTAGATTATCATTGACATACTACTCACTTTTTGATGATAATGATTCACAATCATATCCAAGAGCATAGTATATATAGTTTAAAGGCTATTAGACCCCAAACATAATTGACTTGACGAGCTACAGTGAAAGGTCAGTGTTTATCATGTGACATTTAATTCGCTCTTTTACTAAAGAACTTTTGCCTAATATTTAAATTAGTTTTAATTTCCTGATACACATTACGTTAGTCAGTAGTTCTGTATTTCGGAATATGTTTCGTTGAGACTCGAAGACGGCCTAAGTTACAGCAGTTTATTTTTATCGAATCAATCGTCTCATTATAAAAAATGAGTGTATCTACAAATTCCCCTCTAACCTTTATTTGAATGGTGTTAACTAAGAATACAAGACCGTAACGAAAAATGCCGATTATTTCAATGTAGTAAGTTATGAAGGTGAAATCAACACCATCAAATAAGTTATGCATATCATCATCTGACTAAATAAAAAAATGTGTTAGCCCACTGATTAATTGTCTCTTCAACCAACTAATAAATATCACAAAAACATAACACGTAACCTTCAACGATATGAAATCTGAATAGCATGTTTCAATAAAGGGGAAGACAAAATAAACGTCTTTAAAGGTATAGTATGAATCATCTACTAAAATGAGGCTAGTCAATTATATAACTCCGTAGCACTATTGATTTTCTATCAGGACTAAAACTTATCATGAATTAGAGATCAGAAATAAAACTAAAATACAGTGCAGGTTGAACTAATTCAAAATAAAACAAGTTAATGCAGACTGAATCATTGCATTTGATGTAGTTTAATGTGAGAGGGAACGTTGTGCACGAAATGTCTGGAAGATTCAAAGTGGAAAGACATGAATCAATAAGGAAAATTACATTAAAATCTGTCTTCAATCAGATAAACACCAAATTTGAGCAAACATAGACCTATAATTTTCATATTAAAATTCCAAGAAAATTAACTATATAAAACCAATGTTTTTGAGAGCAAAGATAATCTGCTTTTAAAGGAGTTCATAAAACTAATAAGTGCATAATATTTGAAAAAGTCGACAACGAAAGAATATTATTTTCTATTAAAAAAGAGTATATTTTTAGACATTTCTGGCAAACCGATTTAGTTAATTAATGCGACAATAACAGAAAGAAATGATCACCTATAACTGTTCGAATGAGCTATTTCATTTCTTTAAACAAAAATGAAGCTGTTTTTTTTCTAATACGATTAGTAAAACCTTCAATATAAAAGTGGATTGTAGAGGAATAAATCCGAGAAGCCATAGCAAATTCCATTACTTCCTGTCCAAATTGTAATATGTATAGATTAGATTTAACGTAATATCCCACTCAGTTAATCAAATCCAACGTGAATAAATAAGAGAGGGTGTCCACTGAAATTTATTAATAAATACACACGTATTATTTAAACAGTAAAATACGTCTTCTCAAACTACATTTTTTCCCATAATTACTGTTTACACATAACCATTTACGGATAAATCACACAATATAGAGATTAAAAAAGCACTTAGTGATAACTGTTTGAGTACTGGTGACTAATTTCTATCAACAACTTTAACCGAATAACTGGAAATATTTTGCGTATAAATCACACTAAGTAGATTGATTATGGCCATCAATGGATTGGTGATATGCCCTAGTCAAGTAAGTGTTAATTTTCTTCTGCAACTCTTCTAGTTAATGTAGCAATAACAACGTAATTTGTGATTCGAGATGAGTAATACATAGTACAACTACCACAGTTTATATAAGTTGATAAGTTTGATTCCACTCAAACCTATATTGTCCACTTGAAATAACTTCAAATTAATGTCATCAAAAAACAACGATGACTTTAAGGTTTCCATAATTTAACATCTGTACTTTCGATAATCATTCGAAAAGTAGCCAAAAAAGAACTCTCGATTTAAATAGCCAAATGAAGTTTGAATGAAATGTATGACCAATGAAGGTAAATTATTTCCTTCATTGTTAGCGATAGCCATAATTGTGAATGGACTGGGCTTCTTACTACCCAAGAGCCCTAACAGACGAAGGTAGTTTCTTAGGGGGTCATTCTCCGAGCCTTTAGATAAAAAGTATAATCCAAAAGGCAGTGGAACAGAGTTAAGAGATGTAACTCTATGTTAGCCAATGACCAGAATAGGTCCACGCGTTATTCATCCTATTAGGATCCTGAATCTCATTTGCACCATTGGTTTAAAATCAGGGATTTCCAACTCCCCCAGGTCAATTCTCCGGATTCACTAGCACGGTTTAAGTGCGCAACATTCCCTTTTCAATATCTCACATTCGTAAACAACAAGAGCACTGCGAAGACACATAGGGTTGAACTTCCCTAACAGAGGTTAGAAATCCATAGCTATATGAGAGCATTTCGAGAGGGGAAATGGTCTCTCCTACCCTCAACTTTATCAGATAATCTGGGGATAAAGAGACAAAGAAAAGACGTGCTATTAATAAAAACTTGTAGTTTTATAAATACCATACTATAGAAGTGACAGGAAATAAACCACTCTTATGAAATCCGATGGAATATAAAAGTACTGACAAACGCGATCAATTTTTGATAACTTATTTCACCGTAGAAACTGGACATGGTATCGATAAAGTTTTTCTTAAACTTTGATGACAAAAAAATATTAAAATGAACAAGACCGATGTAGAATATGACACCGAAATGTATCAAATCAATATCACTATAATATCAGTTACATAAAATTAAACAGAATTATACAAATGTTTCGTATTTTACTGTAAAATCTAACAAAAAGGATATTATCGAACACCACTGGGACAGATTGCATCCCATGGGTCTTTATCTACTACATTTTACAAAACGTTAGAAATCCCAATCAGAAAATCTACGTGAAGTATGGTCACGCATAAGTACCTTTCACGCTAAGCCTACCGAAATTGACACTAGACACTGTTTGCAACCTCGTAGACTGATCTGTGTTTTAAATAGTTTTTAATATTGATCTCCTTCAGTGGTTTTACCACGTAGAAGTGGTACTAAGAAGAAACAACTGTCAAATAAATGAAGCTTTTTTAAAAGAATATTCAATCCCAAAATTCATACTTAAAAACTGTACAACAAAGTGCTTAGCTTTGTATCGTTTATTCTACTCTTGATGGACGACGTAAAAGGACATAGTTTAAGTTACTTGTATTTCTCAAAAATTATAAGTATACACTTAGAAATTATCCCATTACAACAACAGGCAGGAAAGCTTTTATAACAATAATATACTATAATTGATCAATAATATTCTTACTTCACAATTCGGTGACCATAGTCTTACAACAGAGTCAATTCCGGAACTTGCCAACAAACAAATAGATGGATGAGGTTGAACACAGTTCACAGTAGAACTGTCAGCTTTCAATATACGCATTATATTAGTTGTATTACGATCCCATATAAAAAATGCACCACAATCAGACCCACCGACAATATATTGCCCATAGCTAAAATAACAAAGTAATTTAAGTTGGTGATCAATGCACTTTTGGAAACTAAATAACTGATGTTACATATAACGACTAAATAACGAACATAACTAGGATAGTATAACGGTAACATTATAGTGAAGTAGAACACAGGTGAGGACAACCGAATTATATTTAACACAACATTACAGAGTTAATTGGTAAAATAGAAAAACCATACTATAATACTTAATTTGCAAAATGTTCAATAATTGTCCCGGACTTCATAGTTCTTACATTTCTATACTAATTGCTTTCAATTCCTGTTCTTTCTTTCTTGATCTTCCCAATCTTCTGTTGCCAGACATTACATTCCTGACTAGCATTATATACTACTTTTGTTAATATAAGTAGCACGCACCAGAACATCTGCGACAGTGACACTGAGTAATGTACGGTAGAATACTTGATGGAGTATCAGGTTTCATGCTAGCGCACATATCCCTTGCTGGTGAATTAAAGTCTAGTCAAGGATTCCCATTGATTGTTCCCTGAATACTAAACACTAAACGTTGATATTATGTTTCATCTTTATAATTTTATATGTTTATTAATAGTTTCAGCAGCTTTCGATTTCCAAGTCAAGTTTCGAGGGAGTAAGTTTACCTGAATCTAACGAATTATTAAGACATTCAGAGTAGATGAAATTTTATCTACACAATTATTTTGAAGATTTAGCATCAGTCATTTAAACAACTACAACATAGGACGAGGCACAAGCTGCCACAACTCATTAACACAACAAGATGCACAGCAATTCATAGAAGCAGTTACTTCAATGATAGTAATGCATTGAAACAAAGATTGCATATGAGGATATAACAAGGAGAAAAAATTAGTTCGTGGAAAAAAAGGTATTAAAAAACTTTAATCCCACAGTTTAAGGAAAGACAAAGAATGTATATACCTACGTCATTGTGATCGATTCTGAGGCATGTTACCCGGAGTCTCCAATCACTAGTTACGTTAGTCGCGCGGACCCCAACCAAGTAGTCTGTATCTACCAACATGACTCAACCTAGACGTTAGTGACTCTATCGACCGATGCCATGTTTTGGTTTGGCCGCCCCTAACCTTCCATCTGTCTCCAACCCTAGTCAGCATTTCGCGTCGTGGTAGTCGGTGGTTGGGCATGTGTACTACGTGGTCCAACCATCTCAGTCGATGAAGATTCACAACCTCATCAACTGACTTACAATCATTCACTAATACCTTGCATCTAAACTCACTATTACTTACCCGGTGATCCCAACGGATGCTGGCAATATTTCTAAGGCATCTGTGGTCAAGTACTAGTAACTTACGAGTATCTTCTAATCTTACGCAGGTCAGTCCTAAGGCAACAACTCGCATTTAAAGAGAGAGAAACGAATCCCAAACATCCTGGCATTGCTGTTTAGTGCTGCCAAAAGACTACATTTTATCAGCGTCCTCATTTGTTATATTTCTCTCTAACGGTTATCACCCAGCTATTCCAATTGCTTAGAAGGTTTGGACACCAAATCACTCGACAAGTCCCCAAATCAGAACACGGTTGAACAGGAAAGAGATTATATTCTAAATAACAAGGTTAGATGGAAGTAAGAAGCACAGTAGGAAAAATGTTAGTATATTTACAGTTTTTACATGAGAAGATTTCTAGAGTATTCTCCAAGTATCGACTAGCGCTGATTGATTAATTCTTATCCAATCAGCGTGCACCAAAGCAATCATGCATTGAGCATGCTTTAATCCAGTCTATGTCCCGCTAACATCACCAAACAGAACTATGTCATATGCGTATTCTAAGTCGATAAGTGGACCTCTTAGAAGGAGATCAATGCCCGAGAATTCAGTCGACGAGAACATTATTTCCATCAGTAGGTCTATGATGAAGTTGGACAAAAATGGAGATAGTGGACAGTCTTGATGGATACCACTTGAGATTGCAAAATCAGATGACAGTTCGCCATAAGCTCTCACTCGATTAGTAGTGTTCGGGTAAAGAGTCTTCACAAGGTTTATGCACTTCTGAGGTGCGCCTTTCAATGACAGACATTGCCACAGAACCTCTCGATCAACAGAGTCAAATGCTGCTTTTAAGTCAAGGAAGACCATCATTTTCGGATGCCGATAAGCATGCCTGCGTTCTAAAACCTAACGAATAGTGAATATGTGGTCGATGCAGCCACGACCAGGTCTGAAGCCAGCCTGATTTTCTCGTGTTTGCAGTTCACGTGTCTTAGGCGCCCGATAGTTATTGAGGCTAGTATTTTAAGTGTTAGTGATTTAGTTTGAACGTTAACGAAGAACCAATGAAAAGTAGGTAAAATTAGAAAAGCTGAATCCGACCTGAGCTACGTACCAACACATTCGTTGTCGAGTTTCTGGGTTACGTTTGTGGATATCGAAAATTCTATAAGCACAACAGTCAGTTTATGATAAAAATGTTGATTTGAAAAATAACATAACAATTACGTCCCCTTTATCCATACATTCAGGGTTCCACAAAGTGATCTATGATGATTACTGACGGACACATTATTATCCCAACACACATCAAATTCATTTAAAAAGAAAAAATACCCAACAGTAAACAAATATTTCAAAAACATGCTACTGCCTTTAAAATTATCCATCGTCAGGTAACTGCTTTTCAAGACAAATCATGAAGATTGTCAGGTCAACCTGTTCATAAAACAAAACCATTGATACATCATTACTATGCACCAGTGAATTACCTCCCAAAGAAATTTGCTTCTTTAATATCTGTTATTGAATTGCAATGACCAATATAAGATGCTGAAAAGTCGATGGCATTTTTTCGCCTTTCTCTTTCATCCTCTTCTATCCACATTCGATTACATGAGCAGTTTAAACAAGCACATAGTCTTGGATTTATTTGATTGTCAAGACTGGGACGATGCCAAGATTCTGAAGATATTTGTTCACATACTAGAAAGAAGAAAATTAGACAAAGTTAACTCTCATTTTAAAGAAAATTCTTATCCTGTTAGATGTAAAGGATGTTATTAGATATGTAAAATAAAAATCACTAGGTTCTGTAGTTGACGATGGTTAATGGCTGAATTTTAACCTGAGTCACGGGTTTAATGAGATTTACAGAGATAATTATTACATTTAACACACACGCACAGTAAACATGGTCAGTAGAGTAATATATGGACGCCAACATAATCATTGAGCAATAACCCAGTTTGATTTTAACTATTTATTCGAAGCATACAAATTTTGGTGCAAAATTGCACGAAGAAATGGGCCACACGAATGAAGTGTTAGTATTGTAAAGAACTAGAAGAGAGAAGGGTAGTAAAGTCAATTAATAAATCAACTAGAATAGCATTTATTGATAAAGTTCAGTTAAAAAACGTTCAAAAAGTTTCCTTAATTAACTTGTTTTAATGAAGAGTATAACTGAAAATTACAGCTGAATTGGTACTGGCTTATTTTCTGAGCCGAACCGAAAGACGTCATAAACAACTGAATTGCAAAATCTCTAGGACCACAGCAAAAGTAACGGATTGACAGATACAAAACATACACCGCTTTCTTTCAGACTATATTACCATGTTATAAAATGCTGTTGTAAAAGTGAGATAGATCCTTCATTTTATTGTTTTTTATAAATGATGAATTGTATTACAATATCTACTACTCCTACATTTACGTGTAATAAATATTATTCATATTCTATTCCGAAATATATTCTGATGAACTCTAAGACCGCTTAGTCAGCATTTACCAACTCAATATTTTGGGAAGATATTTCAATTGATCAACGAGTGTAAGCAAGACAAAGTAATAATGAATTTGTAGGTTTCACTACCAAGGTTTGACTTCACAATTTCACATAAATTGAGCGTTGGGTAGATTGTTATTAATAAAAATAATATATTTGTAATATCCAGATGAGTAGAAAATTACTCATTGGGGTATTAAAAATTATTTTTATTAAAAACAATAATGAATTTTAATTTGGTGGAACATAAATGGAATATAATAAAAATGGGTCTCTCTAATCAATTGATGTTATAGAATAGATATGTAGCTTATATAATGTTCATATAGTTAGGGAAAATTGAATTAAATGAACGTAATTTGTTCTTACAGAACCTATTGAAAGTTTTAATGCACCCAAACATACTTTCGATTAAATAAAACGATTAATTGATGACTGTGCTTAATACACACATAAAAAACAAGAACTCAAATAAGCCACGTTTAGCAGCCGTAAAGTAAACCAGAATAAACTGCTGGGCAGTATACTTGTCCCTTAATCGATAGACGGATATTTTCCTTCGCCATAGGTGACGTAAATTGACAAAGGCTAAACGACCTTTCTGAATCCGTATAGAGATTTTGTCGGACACCAATTCACTAGGGCTGATCAGACTTCCAAGATAAGTGAAGTTGTCGACGCGTTCGACTACTTCATTCCTTATTCTTAGTTCAGGTGTTGATACAGGTCAGTTTTGAAGCAATAATTCGCATTTAGAGGAATAAAAACGCATCACAAACATCCTGGCATTGTTGTTTAGTGCTACCAACCAACGAATCGTTGAGCAGTAAACTCGCCCTTTGGTTAAAAGATGGATATCTCGCTTACGCCACAGGTGACGCAAGTTGGCGAAAGTCGATAAAGCTTTTCGAATCAGTGCAGAGATTTCGTCAGACCTCAGGACAAACGAAACACCCAAGATAAGTTAAGCAGTCGATGCGTTCAACTACTACACTCACCAGCATTAGTTCAGCCCATGACGCAAGCCAATCCTGAAGTGACATTCTACATTTGCAGGGAGAGAACCGCATCCCAAACATGTTTAGATTGTTACTTAAGGTGGTTGGAGGATTGTACTTTGTCTGTGTCTTCACCAAGCAGAACAATATCAGCTGGGTATTGTAAGTCAACAAGTGAATCTCCTCGCGATTAACGGAGTTGAGTGCTGTCTTACGGTCAAGGGATACACCTACAGTTGGACGTCGAAAAGTATGTCTATGTTTCAGAATCTGCCGGGTGGTGAATACTTGGTGTATACATTAAAGTCCAGGTCTGAAACCAGACCAGTTTACTCGGGTTCGTTCCTCATGAGCTCTAGCTAGACGTCGAGATATCATTTTAGACACTATAAGCTAAATTAATTCCTCTGTGATTGTCGTATGAGGATTCTCGACGATCAACGATCGAGGTAGTAAGGTAAACCATAAAGTTAGGGAAAAATACTGGATCAGAGCAGCATCTACTGCACTGTCAGATGTTCGAAAACCCGTCCCATCAGGCTCTGAACATGATGAAGGGCGAAGTTTTCTGAAGCACAGGCTGATAAGAGGCCTACGCAATAATCACGAACAGTGGTGGGCTGCGAAAACAAGAGGGATGGAGAGTCCTGTAGCAACAACTTGCATATAGAGGGGGAGAAATGCATCCCAAACATCCTGGCATTGTTGTTTAGTGCTGCCAAAAGACTACATTTTATCAGCGTCTTCACCAAACAAGACGTTAGTATATTTACAGTTTTTACATGAGAAGATTTCTAGAGTATTCTCCAAGTATCGACTAGCGCTGATTGATTAATTCTTATCCAATCAGCGTGCACCAAAGCAATCATGCATTGAGCATGCTTTAATCCAGTCTATGTCCCGCTAACATCACCAAACAGAACTATGTCATATGCGTATTCTAAGTCGATAAGTGGACCTCTTAGAAGGAGATCAATGCCCGAGAATTCAGTCGACGAGAACATTATTTCCATCAGTAGGTCTATGATGAAGTTGGACAAAAATGGAGATAGTGGACAGTCTTGATGGATACCACTTGAGATTGCAAAATCAGATGACAGTTCGCCATAAGCTCTCACTCGATTAGTAGTGTTCGGGTAAAGAGTCTTCACAAGGTTTATGCACTTCTGAGGTGCGCCTTTCAATGACAGACATTGCCACAGAACCTCTCGATCAACAGAGTCAAATGCTGCTTTTAAGTCAAGGAAGACCATCATTTTCGGATGCCGATAAGCATGCCTGCGTTCTAAAACCTAACGAATAGTGAATATGTGGTCGATGCAGCCACGACCAGGTCTGAAGCCAGCCTGATTTTTTCGTGTTTGTAGTTCATCAGTCTTTGTTAAGCATCCGATAATTATTGAGACTAGTACTTTAGATGATATATTAGTCAAACTAATCGTTCTATCATTATTACAGAATGATTTTGATCCTTTCTTTTATATTCGGACAATCAGTGACTGCGACCAGTGAAATGGGATTACGTCGAGTTCCCAGACTTTAGTCAAACTAATCTCTTAGTTTGGACCACAATACCTTAAGACCTCTGGAGCCAATTCTATGAGGAGCAAGCAAATGCGTGCCCGTATTAGAGCATGATCGGAGTCCAAGCAGGTATTCCAGAACGAGCGAAAATCTTCTATCGACACAGCATACACCAATGGTACAAGATTCTAGGGTTTTAGCCAAGGAGGCCTGTGGCCGACTTGATACAGGATGCATACGTTGAAGGCTCCAATGTGTAGTTTGGAGCGAGGTTTTAGTAGACCTGGGACAGCGTTTTACGCACTAGAATCGTTGGCCATGGTGACATTTGAGGAGGAAGTAAGAGAGGAAGATTAGAGTTGAAAGTCGAGGTAGGAGGAATAATAGGAATTGAAGAGAGTGATTGATCATGAATACAGTGATCTTGAGTACTGTTAGAGGTATGAGGATAGTTATCACTTCCCGGTTGCCCACACCGTGGAAGGGTTCTTCTTGAGGTACCTGAAAAGGAAATTGGGTTAGAGGTGGTCTTAGTGAACTAAGAGCGTGACCACAGTGCCCAAGGGACGACTGCTTGAGGTCGGTCACACACAACCTTTTTGTGGGCAATTTTCGTGTTAGCTCCGTACTTGTTGAGACCTTACCGCCGGAGAAGGAAATCCGTGGGATAAGGCGAGGTGTGCATTTTTAGGGTCGACCTTTTCTAACCTCACCCCGTCTTTGTTTTTTTATTTCAACACAAATCTCATTTGATATGTGTGAGGGCTGTGATACTGCCCGGGTGCCCAAACCGAAACAGGTGGTTATCCTAGGGAGCCACACCTCGAGCCTTAGACCTAAAAGTTTGATCCACAAGGCAGTGGAGCATCGTGGGGAGATGCAGTCCCATGGTCGCCGGTGACCAACGACTGGTTCATACGCCATTTGTTCCTTCAGGATACTAGAACCCATGTGCACAATTGGTTTGGAATCAGGGTTTTCCAGCTTCCCTACGTGGACTCTCCATGTCCACCAACCCGGTTAATGCGCCGGACATTTGCTTTTCGTCCTCTCAATTTCGTAAACAACACCTCCACGAGAAGGCGGTGGGTAGAACTTCTTTGGCAGAGGCTATGTACGCGTGGCCATGTGAGAGCGGACCCTCCCCACTCTCGGCCTTACCAGGGCATTTGGGGACAGCATCACTGTTATGCGGGTTGTCTAAGGGGAACGCCTTACTGCCGTCACACCTCTGTACAGTCAACAGTACGACTTCGCCCTCAGACCTTGGGTTTGTTGCTTTTAGTCTTACCGCTCCCTAACCGACCTGTTTGGCATGGTAGGGATTTTGAGAAACGATTGTTCCAGCCAGTATGGCTCGACTGGTTTATTACGATGAGCAAGCCCGATCACCACCTCGAGTTAACAACAACGGTCGGAGTCTATATAAATGATAATTATGGTAGAATATTTTGTGACAGATCAAATGCTGGGGATTTCGTAGCATTCTTAACTAGTTCACGGAATATTATTGCTTATATTTTTATTGTATAATTATTAGATAGTTGAATAATTATATTGCTGTATGTCTTGCATCGCAAGCTACCGTTGAACCTACTGACTAGTGCTAAATGCTTTATTATTCATTAATTATTAATTAATTATGTACCGTTCATCCTGTTATTTACCGCTTACAGAAGGATTGTATGTAAAGCATGATTTCTCATCGAGGTTGCGTTGCGGTCCGATAATTTGTACATGTAAACTAAATAGTGCTCGAAATGGCTTTACTGGGTGCCTGAAATGTAATGGTAGGAGCTTGTCTGCTGCTTTTTTATTACCAGACCCGAAATTGGGGATGAAAAAGTCATACACATCAGGAGCCCAACATGAGTCAAGCTTATCTCGTCAATGCTCCAAGTTACTCGAGCCAGCCTAAGCGTCGTACTGGTCAAGTTAAGTGCTCAGTCAATAGATGGATTAGAATATCCGAACTCGAGAAGAATATGTTAGGATTTTGATTGGTGTGTTTTTATCCGATCTAACGACTAAGGAATTCCAGACCAGAAAGCGTCATAGCACTACGTTTTTCAGATTATCCAAAAATCTCTACCGACACTTTGTCCCTTTACTCAATAACCCAGTGATAGTTTGAAGGAGTTTTACGAAAAGGTCCAAGGGTTCTTACATGGGTTTAAAAAAACACACTTATAATACCAACTAATTCCAGTGAGCAAGATTGAGGTCAATGACGAGAATACATGTTTATTCTCGCTGAAGAAAGTTCTATTTTTGAAATGTCTTTTAAAATAGTTGATTATAAGAAAAGACAGGAAGATAAGTGTGCAAATTCACCAAGTAGATGCCTCATATACTTCTTTGAATTCATATTTATTTTGTTCGCGTCAGTGTTTTTTTTTTAAATATAAACGAGTAAACTCGAATTTCCACTGGTTGAATTAACATACAGATACATTTAATAATCCTACTTATTTTTTCATTTGTTATACATACTTCTGAAAAAAAGGAAAATCGACTTCAGTGAGTCAGTTTACTAAAACAAGAAAAGGAACATACTGTTATCGCATTTCAAGAAAGATAAAGTTTCTGGTCTTGGTATTGTAGATCCTTTGGCATCATTGTCGTCATCATCATTATCATCATTGGTATCGTTGTTATCATAATTATCATGTAATGATGTTTTTTTTCCACTAACTTGCTTTCCTTTTCTTTTCGACTTGTTAGATTGTGATTCTAATTGTTTTTCTCTCGCCAACAACGTAGACTTTAAATGTTCGAACACTTTAACCAGGTTATCTGATTTGCAAATATACTTGGACGGATTTGTATCAGTGGTATTGATTGTTGGTGCGCTAGCAGATGACGAAGAAGAAGAAGAAGAAGAAGAAGAAGCGATGACAGTAGGTGTAATAAGCGCTTTATCCGAAATCTTTTGATGCGTAATAGTTTTGAAGAGATTGGGAAAGCTGTCCAGTGCTTGTTTGAGCTGAATACGAGCAGCATTTAACCAATCCAAACATAATAAACATCGAACTGAAAGTAATAGAGCTGTAAGGTAAACGGAACTGCTTAACAATTGATGTTTATTAATGGTATCGTTATTTTGGATGCTGACAGAATCATTGTTGCTTTGAGTAGTCAGTTGGATAGCATTTCGGCAATCCAATAGCGCATTATAAATATCGCCATTCCTTTAATTAAAATAAAAGAATACATTCAAAGCGTACTCAAGAATGTTCTTAAAATCTAACAGTTTGATCTTTTCCACGTACGAAAATAAAGCTTTAGGCTAGTCATCGATAAATTCAGTTTCGGGTTTTAACTGCAAAAGTGCACTTTGATATACTAACAAGTATTATTCCATGTTTCTTTTAGCTAATCTAGGTAGCAGAAAACAACCGTGTATCCGGGAAATTTCAAGGTTTTTCACACAGATTCTTTGCAAAACCTGAGTTGAATAGGTGAGAATAAGCTAAACTGATTAACTGAGAAATTAACCTAATATCAAGTCAACAGAAGCCAACAGCCAATATAAGATGTGATCGTCCCATGCTACTAGTGATTCTTATACCAAAAGTGAGACGGTTATCTACGTATTCAGACCTATTGCCGATTAAACTATAGTGTTCTTAAAACTGACCACGTACAGCAAAACATGTTCATATATGGCGCTTGTTTCGTGTCAAAATCTTCAATACTACTTGTCTATAAACTATTCATCTATGGAAACATTCACAACAAAATCAAAGTCGAATGAAACCCACTATAATTTATACAAATCAAAAGGACGTGAAAAAGACAGTAGATAGAAAAATCTAATTACCATGATGACTAAAAAAGTATCACATATGATTACACTAGAATGAAACCGACAAAGAATGCTTAATCAACCGTATATTTTCAAAATGTATACAACATATAACTTCATATCCTGTGATGGCAAATAGAGCTATTAAGATATGCTCAGTTGACACAATTGATAAGGAATTACAGCACATTCATATGTTGATTGAAATGGGATATCTACAGGGCTTCCTGAAGAAACACTTGCGTGTAACAAGCAAGAAAATAGTGACACCAACGGCTAACAAAAAACCTCTTTTCTTGAAGCTGCAATTCAATGGTGATGTAGCTAGTGATGTATTAGGTGATAGACTGACTAGAGCAGTAAAGAGAACGTTTAATGCTGCCAACCTCTGTCTGTCGTATTCGACCCGATCTATGGTGATTCTCCAACCGAAGGATAAGTTACCTGGTTATGCCACTTCTATGTGTATCTACGAATTCAGTTGCTCCTGTGGAGAAAGCTATATTGGGCGCACTACCAGGCAACGGAACCAACAAGTTGGTGAAAACCTCCCTTCGTGGTTAGGAAAAGGTTACGTCAAAACAATACACAGCTCGGTTCTATCACACTTGATCGATAGCGGTCATATAGTGGACAGAAACAAGTCATTAAAAATTATTTATCGTATTTCCACTAGTTTTCCTTATGGTGTTCGATCTCGTCTCTTACACATAGCAGAAGCTATAGGAATCCGAGCCAACAAGCCAAGTCTTTGTGTTCAGAAGAAATTTGTAACACCCTCCCTTGGCCTTAATAAATGAATTTATTTATTATTTTTTCAAACTTTCCCTTTGTTTATTATTTTTCTTCACCCCCTCCTACCACTCTATTTTCTCTCAACTATACGTTTCACGGTCCAATTATCTGAATACCCCTTATTACGTCATCTTGTAATTTTATAAATTTTATCTCACTGTCTATATTTTTCTAATTATTGACCTATTTCCGATTATGTAGCATTGATTTGAACCTTTATTATTCTTATCAAAACTAATGCACCTGTTATCACACTACCAATTTGTACTTTTCACTTATTATGTAATCGTTCTCATTGTTATCATTGTCTCATAAACTACCTTGGTTGGTTTAATAATTTCATATATGCATATAAATATTACTGTATATTAGAAGTAAAGCCTGATGAGGATCTAATCGAAAACAATATTGTTCGCTTATATATGTTGATCTAAACTCCTGTATTATTACCATATATTATATTAGTCATAATTCTTGATGGAAATCTTGTTACTTACATAATATTAAGCTTACTGAATGATTCTAGACTAGAATATAATGAAGAGCTTGGATAAAACACAAGCTATTAAATAAACAACATAGACCCAACACAGCAGTAGGAAAACAAAAATGTCACAAAATGACTGACCAATTTCTTTTAATTAAAGCAGTAGCGCGACCTGTATACAGTTGAGGACAGAAAGGATACTGTTGAATAAGTTTATTATACTTATGAACTGCAACAGCATACGCCTTGGCTTCAATTAATCGTGAAGCCAGTACGACTGAGTAATCAGAAGCCATAGAAGGATTACAACGGTAATCATAAGTTGAACCTATAAAAAGATGGTAGTAAAGTTTATTTAATTATTATCCACTTGCCATTTAACGTTAAATAGATAAAATTAGTTTTTAAACAATATATGACGGATTACATTCAATTGGTTAGCCCTAAATAGAAAAAAATTTGCATCCTGTACTTTTAGCTTCTATTCAAAACATAAATGATTAAAGAGTACATTGTCAAAATGAAACTGATCAATATTGAATATCGACAACAGAGAGCGAACAAAACCCATCACAGATAACGACGTATGAATTTAGAACAAGTGTAAACAGTAATATTTATATTACCCGAATGAGAATCATAATATCCCATATTTGAAGGACGAAACCAGGTAGGAATACGAAAAGAACAAAACCTATCCCTTGGTTGCGTTGCAGATAAACTATACAATAATTTAGTTGATTTAAACGATGATTGACATTGAAATGGTTCATTTTGTGAAGCTAAATGAAATAGATAAATATTATCACGTCCAACATTAGCTAATAGTTCTTCACCATCTGAACTAAAACTGACTGATGTTACACTGAAAGTTTGATTGTCTAAACCATCAGTTAATATTTTACCAGGTAGATGAGCTGAAATGACAGAAAATGATGCAGAAAGAAATTAAGAGAATTGGTGAGCAGTAGTTGATTATTCGTTTTAAATAAAAACTGAAATATTAATTTATTGACAAAATTCAAAGATAAACTTTACATCAAAATCAACAACGCAAGTGGTAATAGTCAAAAACATCTACTAAATTTATGCTAACTCTATAAGCGCTCCATATGAGAACATGTAACATTCATTGTGTCGAAAAAAAATTGAAATCACAATTTATATTAATGTAAATCCACGTAATTCATTTACCAAATACCAATTTTGTATGCACACGACTTTGAACTACATATTTTATGTAGAATGTATAGGTAAGACAAAGCTGCCTAAACCGGAGGTGAAGTGAGATTTGAAACCACAAACAGTGACTGAAAGTCAGATGCTTTAATCACTTGAATAGCTTATACAGGGGTTTCATCACAAAGAAGCAGATCAAAAACGTTAATCTAAGATATTAAAATACGATGATATTCTACTATTAGCTCACCGTATTCAAGGAAAACGGACTGGCTATTGTACAGCTGTTTCTTAGTTGTTTGACACTATTCTGTACTGTAATGCTACGGATCCGCTAGGGATAGCCTTCAGGACATTTTTAACTCCCCGCGAGCATACTATAGAGCTGCCGAGTCAGGAGCCAATAGTACACATTTTAATCTTCAGCCAATCAACAATGGTTGAGAAACACGAGTTACAGCTTTGCTCTAATACACTGGGAATTCTTTTTGGAGTTAATCCTTAGTGATCCCATGATGATCATTCAATAACGGGGTTGGCCGAGATTCTTCAGTATAAAGTTTTTATTCAAGACTCATATCAGTTGAAAAAACCATTTTAAACCATGAAGCAACGGACAGTTACTTCGTCCTGGCATAATGCTATTTTTTTCATGAGGTGAAGAAATTGAGGTAAAATCCTAGTTCTTTATCTACAAGAAATATTTACATAAATAAGGAAGAATTTTTAGTTTCAATACTTACATGGAACAAAATATTTAGCTGCACCATAGGGAAATGAAGGCAGCGAGCTCGATGGAATGTTTATAGGGGTTCTCCTTGATGCAGCTTGTCTAGAGAATATATGGAAATAGTTTTCAGATACAAGAATTTACAGAGAAGACTGTAAGTTAACTTGACAATGATCAAAGGAATCTAAATAGGGTGGAATGTGATAATAACTACAATGATGTTCATTTTATAGGTGGCTTTAGATGGTATTTTAACGCTTAAATTAAATCTCACCATCAAGCATGTCACCTGGTGTTGTAACTCCATCATGGGTGATGGATTAAGATATTTACTTTTACAAAATGGGCAAACATTCCAATAAAACTCGGTGCTTAACTGAACTGATAGTTCTTTTTATCAACAAGTTATTGAATTACGTTAACATTAAATCTGAATGACCACGCAAGTCATCTAGAATGTACAGGATTCACTGAACTGTAATTAAAGTTATAAATTTCAACCAGAGATTTTATTAATGATGTAAACTAGTTGTAAACATAAAAATTACCACAACAAATAACTTATACTACTGTATTATCTAAGACATTTAACTAAGATCAGTTCGTTATTTAAAACTACGAAAATTCAGCGATCCCCACAAATCCTACTATACTAACAATGATCCTGTACTGACCAGGACAGGGTTGGATGGAGAGTGCTGTTGGGCGGCCTATGCCCCTTCACGATGAGTAACAGGCGTAAGTAAGTAAGCAACTCACTAGTGACTAGCTACAGGATACAACTCCTCAAGTTCTAATAAAAACTCATGACCAGTGGAATTCAATTATGTCGCGTATGAAACAACCATCTACCAGAGGATAAAGGTTGGGGAATATCGTAAACTGATCGAAGTTAGATATTAATATCGTTGGGTGTCGGCTCAGTGGTTAATCGTTCGCATGCAAGATCGAAAGTCCTTGGTTCCACTCCTGAACGCCCGCTTGTGGATGTGCGCTGCTGAAGCGGCTGTTCAGGGCTTCCACGTTTACAATGGTGGTCTAACTAAGACCAAATCATGATTTCAAACTGTTAAGAAAATAACCGTATACTATAACCGTATACAACTTGTTGAAATACCCTGTGCTGAGAATTCTATATTGTACCAAAAAATAATATTGAATAAAGCCATCATTAATAATAATAATAATATTAATATTATTAATAATAATAATAACAATAACAATAATAAGGTTCCTACAAACGCTATCTAACATTAGTTTTCTTAGAGTCATATGATAATAAATTATTAGCTATTTTATTTAAGCACAAGTTAGGTAGAATATAAAGACTATGTGACGGACCATTGTAAAAACAAACAACACGTTTCTGCTATAATGTCAAAAGACAAGTAGTTCTGAAGGACCACGTTCATGATTCCTAATGTTAGAACTGATGAATAATCAGTACAGTGATAACTGATAATAGTAGATATCATCTAGTAATCAAACGGAAATAGGTAAGCCCCATGGTATAGAAAATCAATGAACCAGAATCCGATAACTGGCGACTATTAACCTCTGTCGATTCGTTTCTGAACGTTAATCATTGCTATTTTCCCGGCTTTTAAACACGTTGATACTATAGATTATGACTTGTCCGATAATGAAAAAGTCTGTTAGGCGATCACAACTACTTTATTACTAATTAATTGGTCGAACAGTTTCAATAGTTCATCTAAATAGACACAAAGAGTTAGTATTTTGACGGGCTACATTACTAAGATTTCACAGTCGAGATTTGAAGTGACTTGTGGAAGATGAACGAAACCATGGAACTTCAAAAAAACCACACATAAACTGTTTAAGAATCCATAAAAACAGAATAATGCAATCTATTTCTAGGGTAAAATTTCTAGTAATCAGAACAAATAGGCAAAGCAGATAGCAGAATTTAACAATGGGGAACGATACCGTTTTACTCTAAAGAAGCAGCTCAAATAAAGCTACGAAACGTCAGAAATACAATTTTTCTATTCATCGTGATATAAAAAATATATATTTATTATTAGTTTTTCAATCCGTTTAAACTGAGTGAACCAATGAATGCTGAGATGTTTACAATGGCTTACATCTTTTAACACCAGTTGGAGGGTTGCAGATTTATTTATTTATTATATTTCTCCAGACACTGGTCTGTTTATCTATACTTTCCATTCTTTGATTCAACTTGATTGTTTCCAACTATATTACCAACCTAATTTCCATGACCAACTTTATTATTTCAACTCCTTTGTTTTTAAATTCGAACTCATTGTATAGATGTGAAATCAAACAACTTGGGTCGAAGGGAATTTTTTGCCGGACTGTACGTTGCATATGACTGACCAATTATTTACTTACTTACTTACGCCTGTTACTCCCAAGAGAGCATAGGCCGCCGACCAGCATTCTCCATCCCACTCTGTCCTGGGCCTTCTTTCCTAGTTCCACCCAATTATTGTCCATTTTTTTCATGTCTATCTCCATTTCCCGGCGTAATGTTTTCTTTCGTCTTCCTCTTCTCCTTTGGCCTTGAGGATTCCATATGAGGGCTTGACTTGTGACGTGGTTGGGTGCTTTCCTCAATATGTGTCCTATCCACTTCCAGCGCTTCTTCCTGATTTCTTCCTCCACTGGGATCTGGTTTGTTCTCTCCCACAGTACGTTGTTGCTAATAGTGTCCGGCCAATGGATCTGAAGTATTTTGCGTAGACAACTGTTAATAAACACCTGTATCTTCTGGATGATGGCTTTCGTAGTTCTCCAGGTTTCCGTCCCATACAGTAGAACTGTCTTGACATTTGTATTGAAAGTCCTGACCTTGGTGTTGGTTGACGGTTGTTTTGAGTTCCAGATGTTCTTCAGTTGTAAATATGCTGTTCTTGCTTTTCCGATCCGTGCCTTCACATCTGCATCAGATCCACCGTGTTCATCAATGATGTTGCTCAGATATGCAAAGCTTTTTACACCTCCCAAAGCTTCTCCGTCAAAGGTGGTCGATTGGTGTATACTGTGTTGTATGGGGGAATTTCGCTTTTCCCTTTGTATATATTGAGACCTACTGCTGCTGAGGCTGCTGTTACACTGGTCGTCTTCTCCTGCATTTGCTGTTGCGTTTGCCATAGAAGAGCCAGATAATCTGCGAAGTCTAGATTGTCCAACTGCATCCTAAATGTCCACTGTATCCCGTGCTTCCCTTCAGATGTTGACTTCTTCATGATCCAGTCGATCACCAGGAGAAAGAGAATGGGTGAGAGCAAGCAACCTTTCTTGACACCGGTCTTTACTTCGATCGAGTTTGTCAACTGTCCTCCATGCACGATTTTGCAGTTTAATCCATCATAGGAATTACATTCAAAAGATTGTGTAATTATTGGATTGTGGAGGGACGTCGAAGCTGAACTGGTGGGGATGAGAACTTAATGATGGTAAATTTAAAGCTCCGCACATGGTTCGAGATCTTTTAAAATAACTCGTCAAAAGATACGCTAATAGCAACAAATTATGGTTGAGAGAAAATTTAAACTCAATCACGGAAAGGCACAGTAGGTACCTTATTAATTAATATGCTAAAAATATATTTGTTAATTTACATTAAAAGCTTACATTCTCTCCTGTGGTGTAACGCTATCATACGTAGAAAGTGTTAATTTACGCCGATCAAACATTCGTACAAATGGTTCATTCCCACCGATAGCAACCAATTCAGACTTTAATGGATTTACTGCAATACACTTAGCTTCGGCAAAAACGTTATCTTGAAATCGTAAATTGACTAATACATTACATGGTTTATTTACAGAAGTCTTGTAAAAGATAAAAACATGAAAGATTATTTTAAATATGATATTTCACAGATAGGTTATACTTTTAGATAAATCAACTTCTTTCTTATTTAAATTAGTAATAGCATGAGTACCAGATGGACGATTTAAAAACGAATTTCAACCATTTAGTTAAGTTAGAACACCAATTTACTTTAGTCCTTATGAACATCTAAGTAGTATCACCTGTCTTTTACACAGCAGGTGTAGTTTCATTTCCTTTCTATAAAACTGTACTTCATTAAATACCAAAACAAATACAGGTACAAGTACAGTTTTATATGCTAGGCTCAGGGCTACACTGACGCTTCATCGAAAGTAACTGATAAAAGGAACGATATTTCATATACCTATGAGATTGTACGCAAATGTTTTATGAAACAGTGCTATAATGTAGGTATCATTACCAAGGTTTGACTTGATGCACCGTTGTATTATTTAAACTTGGATTAATTTTGATTTGGTTATTTACTCTCTGAAGAAGTGGCCTACACTAAGTCATGAAACGTCAGAAAATCTAATTTTTCTACTCATCGGGATATTACAAATATATTATTTATTTAGTGCTATAATGTGTTCTCATCAATGTTACTTCATTAAAAATTAGGTGTGATATTTCAAGTAACCAAATGTTCATAACTTGTTTAGATTGGACAATAAATGGTAGAGAATTGATATTCAGTTGGTTACTTGTATACACGATTTCCACACCAATACAAAACCAGAGGAGCAAAGCTGAATTAATAAACTTGATGGTATCAAAATATCGTGAAAACCCAGAACAGAACCGAAGAAAGTTAAAATAATGGACAAGATAGTTTAGAATCAATAAAAACATGATTCTATGTGACGTATGTCAGCGATCAGTTGCTTAGAATACTCGCATTCTCTATCTAACTCCTATATCATTTGTAAATGCATCTTGCATTTTGTGGTAAAATACAGTTTACTCACTTTTATGTGCAGATATATAAGGTGATTAACTAATTTGCTTTTCTAATCTAAAATCATGCACTTACGCTCAATATTATCAACTTGACTTTCATAACATAAGTTAAAGAATTTTTATATCAGCGGTCAGTCAGTCAGTCAGTAACAACGTAGAACTTCGTACGTACGTACATCAGTTCGAGTTGCGGTATATCGAAACATACAGATCTTTGCACAAAATCCTCAAACGTTGATAAAAACTGGAATATCTCTGTTTGATAAGTAAATCTATTTACTTATCCATGTATCGCTTAAGTGTAAAGGAAACTTTTTATTGAAAATATGGTTATTTTTCATTCTTACTGTGACATTTGAATATATAGATTACATCAATTAAGCATAGGCTAATTGAATCTGTATTCAAAATTTTTTAATTTTATATCTTTTTAGAATCAATTTTAAGAAACAAAAAACATACCTGATCAGGATCTCGTAAGTCAAACTGTCTACAGGTCCCATCTTCTGAGGCTGACCAAAATAAGAATGGTTCAGATGGAGTATTCGCTAATCGTTTAACGCGACCTGAATGACAAGAAAATACATGCCGTGTTTCTAGTGCTTTAATGTCATGTACACGAATTTTGTTATCAGCTGCACCCGTTACAATCAGATTCTCCTAGAAAAACAAGATGATTATGGGTTTCCAATAACAACAAAAACGATAGTACTCACATTTAGACTAGATAAGAACTTAACAGAAAATATATTCGCCATATGACCAGTGTTCATTGTTAAAAGAGATTTACGTTCAAATGGATCCCAGATAATTAGACGCCGATCATCTGAACCACTAGCAAGATAGGAACCACGCTCGTTCCATTCTAAGCAGTTAACACAACCATGATGACCCTAAAAAATTATAAAGTAAAAATTGACACTTACCTGAAGGCTAGTTTCTAAACCTAGTCTATTGACTAGGTGTTGATTGATTTGTTGACATCTGACATAATTAACTGGACTTAAGACCTAAACAATAATGAAGAAAATGCAGATTACGTAGTTGAAGAGAAAAACTGGGAAATTCGGATTTAGGTAACTAGTATAAAATCCATACAAAAATTTATTTTAATTTTCAGTCTCACGCAGATTCGAGAATTGAGTAACATCAGCTGTTTGGCGGTTGAAAAAATATTAATTTAGAGTGAGCTTGAATCCATGGGGTTATGGAACTGTCTGAGCAGCTCGGTTAATAAAGTGTAAGACGGCTAGAGACAAATAAATACGATAACTTGTACAATACTCCGCGATTAAACTAATGACTTACTGAATAATAACCGACATCATTTGACTAATCACTGGTAGAGGTCATCCACATTCAAGGTTTCCGACATTTTGCTAACGAGTCCTAACATGATTGAAGTTTAATTCTAGGACTTTGTGTTCATCGACTCCAACCGTAAAATATATTGCCCTTTGATCTAATGGTCCGAAATTAAGGAAAATCGAGCCAATTTACTTAAGGCCCCCCTGAATGCCCTGGTACGGCCGAGATTGGGGAGAGTCCGCTCTCCCTCTCGAAATACTCTCACACGGCCACGCGTATACAGCCTCTGCCAGGGAGGTCCTACTCATTGCCTTCTCGTGGCGGGGTTGTTGTCTACGAAAATGAGAGGACGAAAAGCGAATGTCCGGCGCTTTAACCCGATTCCAAATCAATTGTGCACATGGGCTCTAGTATCCTGAAGGAACAAATGGCGTATGAACCAGTCGTTGGTCACCGGCTACCATGGGACTGCATCTCCTTACGTTGCTCCACTGCCTTGTGGATCAGACTTTTAGGTCTAAGGCTCCGGGTGTGGCCCCCTAAGAAAACCACCTGCTTCGGTTTGGGCACCAGGGCAGTATCGCAGCCCACACGCAAATAATGAACTCTCTATATCTATGGAGACTACTTTACTCGCTTCGAATAACAATCAAATGATTATTATTACTATTATTATTAGTATTATTATTATTATTATTTATTTACCACATTATTCACCCTCTTTTATACTTATACAGCGGCTCGTCTTTGGTGGAAATTCGACTGTATCTAAACGTTCTCGAGTCACTGTTCGGTTGAAAATTGTATGTTACCAACGAATATAAGTACTGAAGCGGTTTTTCTGAAACCACGTGCACCATTCAAACTGGCTACGTTCAACGTTCGCACACTTATGCAGGTCGGACAACAGATAGGGCTGGCTATGTCTTTGGAAAGTCTTAATATCGACGTGTGTTGTCTATCCGAGACCCGTATTCAAGACTCTGGCGAAGTACTACAAATTCGCTCTCCATCTGTCGCTTCGAAAAGCTTGTTTTACGTGCGCTTATCCAGGGACCCTGTAGCATCTTCGTCTGGTCTTGCTGGCGTTGATGTCGCACTAAGCGCTAGAGCTGATGCAGCACTAATCGATTGGATCCCCATTAACAGTCGGTTATGTGCTGTTGGATTAGAGAATTCATCAAAGTGAGAAGAAATCGGCGTGAGAAACGATGTCTTTTCGTCATCTCCGCCTATGCCCCGACAGGTTGCAGCCCGGATGCAATCAAGGATGAGTTTTACTACCAATTATCAGTTCTTCTCCAGAAAGTGCGTTCGACAGATATTGTAGTACTAACCGGAAACTTGAATGCTCAGGTCGGGCGTCTAGGCACAGAAGAGAGTCGTTTAGGTGGCCGATGGGGACTCGTTGGTCGCAGGTCAGATAACGGGGACCGTCTACTGCAACTATGCACAGACCACAACCTGTTTCTGGCTAGCACTAACTTTCGGCACAGTCATCGCCGATGTGCTACCTGGCGTCCTCCCTCTGCATCCCAAGCCTGGACTCAGATTGATCACATCGCGATCAGCTACCGCTGGCGTGGTTGTGTACAAGACTGCCGCTCCTTTTGGAGTACCTATCTGGACTTTGACCATGCTTTGGTCTGCGCCAATCTTACCTTACTTTTCAGTGGACAACGAAGTGAACGCCACCAATGGATTGATGTTAGCAAGCTGCTTGCAACTTCTGTTGCAAGTAAGTATCGAACCAAGCTAGCTTCTAGACTAGCTACCATTCCACCGAAAAGTAAAGATGAGCATTGGTTGCAATTGCATGACGCCATGAAAATGGCGAGTAAAGCCTCTTGTGGCTTCGCGAAACGTCCCGCTTGTAAGCACCGGGTTTCTTCAGGTACCTTACAACTCATTGAAGCCCGTCGGTCTACTCCGAGTGACCGTGAGTTTAACAACAAACAAAGGATGTTACGTAAGGAAATTGGGCAAAGCTTGCGTAAGGACCGAGAAGCCTGGTGGTCGATGCGTGCTAATGAGTTGGAAGCAGCAGCTGCATCTGGTAACTACCGGAAGCTCTTCCAACTCATCCGAGCAACTGGCAGCAAGAAGTCTGGTGTGAGCGAAACAATCTACGAGGATGATGGGATGCCAATCACTAACATCCATCGACGTCTTGGGCGAAGGGCAGAATTCTTCGAAGGGCAGTCCAACTGGCCTGCTGCTCCTGCAACAACGATCAGACTGTCCTGCCCTCCATGGCCGACGACGACGACTGGACCACCAAATGAGGCGGAAGTCCGCAAGGAACTTCAACTCTTGAGGCGCTACAAATCACTAGGCCCAGATGACTTACCTCCGACTCTTTTTAAAGATGGTAGTGACTTTCTGGCTAAGGAATTGACGACGTTGTTTACAAAGGTTTAGGAACTAGAGAGTGTACCAACGTCATGGAATGAGTCGATAGTTGTCCCTATCTTTAAAAAGGGTTCACGTCATTCCTGTAACAACTATCGGAGGACAGGTCTACTTCCCATCGCGTCAAAGCTATTGACTTCTGTCATATTTCGTAGGTTGTTCAAAACTCGAGAAAGATTGACTCGCAAGGAGTAGGCTGGGTTTCGTTCTGGTCAAGGATGTATTGATCATATCTTCACCATACGCCAAATGTTAAAACACCGTCATACTTATCACAGGTCAACAATCGTAATGTTTCTTGACATCAGGGCTGCCTTCGATTCGTTGGATAGCACTGTTCTCTGGGATTGCCTATTGAATAAGGGTGTGCCTGAGAAGTTTATTAACATCCTAAAAGCCCTATATAAAAACACCTCAGGCAGAGTGAGGGCATACAACCACCTCTCTCCATTGTTCCATTCAAGCAGTGGGGTTAGACAGGGTTGCCCAATCTCACCATTCCTCTTCGACTTTGCCATCGACGACATACTGGAAACAGCTCTGATGGATGTAAGTAATGGTGGTGTGGATCTGTTGCCTGGAGAAAGACTTCTCGACCTTGAGTATGCGGACAATATTGTCTTACTGTGCGATAATGCCCAAGGCATGCAATCCGCATTTAATCAGTTGGCAATCAGTGTCCGTAAGTATGGTATGTGCTTTGCACCTTCGAAGTGAAAAGTACTTCTACAAGACTGGCAGGATTCTAATCCTGTACTCACCCTGGATGGTGAGCAGATAGAAGTAGTCGAGAAGTTCGTGTATCTGGGTAGCTGCATAAGTGCTGGTGGGGGTGTGAGTGATGAGATCAATGCACGTATAGTGAAAGCTAGAGCGGCTTATGCCAATCTGGGCCATCTTTGGCGCCTTCGTGATGTTAGTCTGGCTGTAAAAGGTCGGATCTACAACGCGTCGGTGAGAGCAGTTTTGCTCTATTCTTGTGAAACCTGGCCTCCGAGGTGAGGACGTTAGACGACTCTCTGTGTTCGATCATCGCTGTCTCCGAAGGATTGCTGACATTCAGTGGCAACACCATGTCAGTAATGCAGAGGTTCGGCATCGTGTGTTCGGGCACAGAGATGATAACTCAATTGGTGTCACCATCTTGAAACACCGACTTCGGTGGCTTGGACACGTTCTCCGAATGTCGTCCCAGAGAATTCCACGTCGTGCATTATTTGCCGACTCTGGGACTGGTTGGAAGAAGCGGAGAGGTGGTCAGTGCATGACATGGTGTCGTGGCATGAAAGAAAGCTGCAAAGGACTGGCTTCTGTCGGTCCTTCACGACTCCCTGGCTGGGGTCTGAGAGATGATGGAACACAGTGGCTAGAGACGTTATCAGATATTGCTCAGAATAGAAGCCAGTGGCGATCCTGCTGTAAACGTCTTTTACTTTCTTCATAAAAAGTGATTGTGTCTCCCTTAACTGAAAGACTTCTGATTGTACCTTTCCGTTCCCTCATTATTACTATTATTATTACTACACTACCTTACACCAACCTCTTCCATTTTTTACGCTCCTTATCTTTTTTTCTTTTCAAATTCTCATTGTTTTGTGTAACGCAAATATATTGGCGTTCTCTTGTACCAATATTTATGTGTTCAAATAAATAATTTTCTTCTTTCTAATATGTGAACAAATATCTTCAGAATCTTGGCATCATCCCAGTCTTGACAATCAAATAAATCCAAGACTATGTGCTTGTTTAAACTGCTCATGTAATCGAATGTTTGTTTTTATTTAAGTAATTTATATTTTCTTCCTGAATCGTATCTCCGATGCCTAGTCTTTCTTATTCACACTGATAATGTAACCACCTCTACTATTCTGGGATTTCGCCTGACAATTTTATCTCTATGCTAATGGGTTACGGCAATTTTAACTAATGTACATACGTACAAGTTCACGTTAAGACTGAACCATAGAGATTGAAACATTCTGGTAGCGATTAACCATGGATATGCAATCCCGAAACACAACCTATGAGGATGGAAACCAATATCGATTTAAGGTAAATGCAATGTACACTTTCCACACTTTTTTTATTGCTTTGTGAACTTTGCGTGGAATTTTACTATAAATGTGTTTAGTGATAGTCACTCAGTCTGTGAATCCTTATCATTTTAACCGATATATAACAACTGGGGTTACGACCAACACAGGTTCCTACATAAAACCAGACTTATCTCTAATTAGCGCGACAGAAACGAGAAGGATACAAGCAGTTTCGTACCCTGTATTGAAGTCGAAGTTTATAATAAATTAATTTAATCCATGTACAATAACAGTGAGGAATACTGAGCAGTGATATTGTTTTGAAAAGATGGAAAGCAAATGTACGCATAAAGGAATGGTGGAATCCAAGACTAGGGAGATAAATAGTAAATAAATCTGCGCCATTGTGAACGATTCTGAGCAATTTCAATTATGGTCTTCAGCCACTGATTACAATTATTATACGGACTTGAATTAGGTAGTTTGCATCTATCAACATGGGTCAGACCAACGGTTAATGATTTCCTAAACTGATGAAACGTGTCAACTTAGCCTCTACACTTTTCGGAACTTACTACCGCTATGGGTTGCCTCAACTACCTCACTGAAGGTGGAGTTATGAAACAAGTCGGAATTATAGAAGTGACGTGTTGGTCAAACCACTTTAGTTTTTACTATTTAATCATCCGTTTGATTATATATTGTAGTCTGAACAGCTGGTACACAAATTTATACTTGACTACTAAGATGAGCAAATTAAAGTCAAAACTTTAGGTTTAGGAATAATTGCTGAAAGAGCAACTGTGGTGAGAGGATTATAAGTACAGTCTTTTAAAGATAAAAGACAACTTATAAACATTTATGTGGTATAAATGGATGGAAAGTAATGAGACAAAACCAGACCAATTTTTAAGAGAAGGAGGAAGTTAGTTGACCTAAGGAAATGAATGAATTAGGTTGCATATTTCGGCAGACTCAAACATGAAAAGCGACCACAAAATGACAAGGATGATCAAGTAATTTATCAATCGTAAGAACTACTAATCCGGAATTAAGATCCTATAATTATGCATGAAATATGGAAGATTACAAAAACTAACCCCTCGAGAAAGACCTTCATATTGGTGAAATACAGAATGTCCACTCATTTATACAAATCAAGCCCAATTAGTCAAGTAGCGTCATCCTAGAATCCCCATCATTGAAATGTCAATAAAAAGATTACCAAGTAACCTTCAATGTACAGTCTTCAGTCTTCAGTAATAAGGACAGTAGGTTGGTGAACCTGTATTAATCCTGACACATTGCTTTCCAGTGAAGGTCCAACTTCTTGAAAGTATTCACTGATTGGGCTGATACCACTTGTTCGGGTGAGGCGTTCCAATCAAATGGTTCGATGAGAAAAACGGGACCCCACTTTAAGTTTATTGGATCGTGGTTTATGAGCCTTCTTGCTATGACCTCGGAATTATTAGTGCTGGAGGGAGCAAAAAGATAGGACATGTTAACACCCAAATCATAATTAAAGATACGAAATGCAAGTATAAGGTCACCTCATGTACTACGATACGACAAGGGGAACGTGTTTGGGCGTTTTAAACGCTCATCGTAAGGGAGTCTAAAAAGACCCTTCACTAATTTCGTTCCCACACGCTGAACACGTTCAAGTGAGTTACTTAGCGTTTTTAGCGTTTTTTTAGCGAGTTAGTTTTCTACGGGATGGGGACGCTAACCCCATGCCCAACCCTCCTCATTTATCCGGGCTTGGGACCGGCAGTAGCCCCCAGAGGGACTCCAGGCGGAGTTGTTCAAGTGAGTTAGTATCCTTTATTAGATATGGGTTAGCTGCTTGAATACAGTACTCTAAGTGTGGTCTTACATAGGTGGGATATAAAAATTGAAACATTTCCTCGTCAAAAGATTTGAACGCTCGGTGAAGTGACCATAACGCACGAAAACCTTTGACAGCGGCTGCTTTGCAATGTGTAGGTGTTCTTAAATCATGACTTATTACTACTCCTAAGTCTTAATGCTCTTGAACGCATGGAAGAGGTTTACCCTCAATAGTATAACGGTAACTATTACCGTGACCAACATGCCTTAGCACACTCTTCCTACCATTGATTTCTAAAATCTATGAATATCACATCGACAGACAGACCGTTATCTAGGGCTGCTGTCCATTCCTCTCTCGCAATAAGCAAGTTAGTCAAGCATGAACACTTGTTACGAAATCCGTGTTGCTCAGGAGCTAACAGATTGTGTAAACCTATGTGGCTTAGCAACCTAACCCGAATTATCTTTTCAAGTAACTTAACGACTATGCTAGTTAGTCCGACAAGCCGGTAGTTAGATACTATCTGTCTCTGACCGTCCTTAAATATAGGACTGACTATAGCGTCCTTCCAATCTCTATGGAGTTGAGCGAGTGAAAGGGACATGTTGAAGAGTGTCGCGAGCGGTTTTGAAATAATGTCCGCAAGAGATGACAGCAACCGTGAATGTAACCCGTCCGGGCCAGGTATCTTACCAGGTTTGAGGTTAGTTATCAACGGAAGGACAGTTTCCTCAGTCACCTGTACAGATCCAATGGTTGGTATCTCGTTGTGAGTGGGACAAGTACTTGTTACAATAAACGTAGAGAAGACTTCGCTAAAATAGTCTTAAAAAGTCTCAGCTTTCGCTCGATCTGATTCAGCTAGTAAATCTGAATTTTCGTGTAACGGGAGAATACCATCACTACGTTTCATTCGCCGTTTAACATACGAAAACAATCGTTTCAGACAAGTACGGATATCATATACTAACTGTTGTTCGTAAGTGGTACGGGATTTGGTAATGGTTTTCTTACAGATATTACGGAATTTTTGGTACTAACGCTTAAATGTTGCATGACCTGTCAGCAAGAATAAGTCCCAGAAATGTTTCCTACGCTTTAACAGCTTCCGGGTTTCCTTATTAATCCATGGAGGGCAATGTGATAGCTTACGTGCTGACCATGGGATAAACGGGGACGTTGCGGACTCGAATGTAGCCTTAAACTTATTCCATTCATCTTCGATCAATCCATCTTCGTCGACCGACCAATCAGTCGAGATAGCACAGTTTCTGATTTCCGGAATATTGGCTCGCCAGATATTGGGACGGGGTGGAGCAGATACGAATTGTATACCATGTGTCCTAAACTTAAAGTGAATTACAACGTGATCACTGTTCACTAGTCGGGGAAGGTGCTGAATATCAAAGAAATTGTCACAGTGGTGGGTGAGGGCGAGGTCCAACAGTGACGGATCATGATTGAAATCAATGTGTCGGTTTTGTGATACATTGCACAAGTGCACACTGAATAACGGTAGATAAAAGGTCGCTATCGAAACCACTACCTGGAGCTGTAAGCTCTATCCAGTTGATATGCGGTGAGTTGGAGTCCCCAATGATGAGACAACATTCTACCATACTCCAAGAACAGATGTGTCTTAGGATAAAGTCGTCAGCAAGACAAGACAGACTACGGTATATTCCCCCTATAGTCAGTAACACATTTCTAGATTTAATCTTACAACATGCAACCTCACATGTGCCACTGACATGAGTCTCCGATATGATTGATTGTATGCGAAAGTGATCTCTAACTTATAATATTATACCTCCCCCTTTGCGACTTGAAACTCTATCACTTCTAATACAGATATAGCCTCCAATGATGGGAGAACAGTCTATATTTCACAGGTTGAAACCATGAGTCAACTGAAGCTAGACCACCATGGAAAACCTGGAAGCACTGGACGGCCGTTTCGTCCTAGTATGGGACTCCTCAGTAGTGCGCATCTACGATCCCGTACCCCGCGGGATTCGAACCCAGGACCTACTGGCTTCGCGCGCGAGCACTTAACCACTAGATCACTGAGCCGACATCCAACGGTGTTAATGTCTAACTTTAACCAATCCACGAAGTTACGCCACCGTACACCATTGTCTTCAGTGAGTTGATATCTCACAACAGACGTGGTTGAACTCCACTGGCTCAGTGGTCTAGTGGTTAAGTGCTCGCCCGCGAAGCCAGTAGGTCCTGGGTTCGAATCCCGCGGGGTGCGGGATCGCAGATGCGCGCTGCTGAGGAGTCCCATGCTTGGACGAAACGGCCGTTCAGTGCTTCCAGGTTTTCCATGGTGTTCTAGCTTCAATTGACTCATGATTTCAACCTGTGAAACTTCTAAGACTCCTCACAAAACCCATTTTGATAACAGTATTTATCTACGATGAACCAAGGTTCTGTAACAACGATTATACCGGGATATAATTCTTCCACCATCAGACTTAGCTCGAACGTTTTATTTCTAAGACTACGAGCGTTCGTGTAGCACACAATTAAGGTGTTTTGGCAATCAATCGTTCTACCTATACAGGCCTCGGAAGCATTGGCTTCCAAGACCTGACTACCTGAAAACCCTTAATGGTCAGGTTATTTTCGCCATTTCATTTGCGAGTCCTCAACTCCGTAAGAGCATTCTACCACTTGATTCGATCATCAAGCGGCCAATCTGGTCGAATACGGATATTTTAGTCACGAGTTTTTAGTGCGTTTTTCAATAATATGTCTCTTTCTTCAAAACTCCCGAGAACCAGCTTCAGGATTCTTCTTGGTTGGGTCTCGCCTCCAACCCATTTACCAAGTCGTATTACTTTTGTAATGTGTACCCCTGAAACCTCTTCAGGTAGTACATTTCTTACCACGGACTTCACTAACTGCAGGTCATGTGCATGTCTTCTAGCAGGGTTGTTGTCTTTCGACTCCTCTAGATTCCAAATAATTAAACTAGGGAGGGGTTCAGCTTCTTTTGAAACTGTGTTCACAGCTTTCGACCGTGACGTCAGATCCTGTATTTTAACTACTGGTATCTTACGATTAGGTTTTATTGTAACAGAGTCCTGGGAGTCAAGCGAGTGACTCACAACAATGTTAAACGAAGCTTCACTTTGGGACTTTGGCGGATTGGTCTGAGAGCCCACCAAGGACTTATCAAGTAAACAGTCATTAGTTTTAGCTGTCTTTCGTACTCTTCTGCGTTTTTGCGTCATCCATTTTCCATTAGTCGAAACATCTACATTAGAACAACTCGGGACAGCAATTGTCTTATCTGGATCACTAGTCGCAGCTGTAGCAATATGGCCGCCAACGTCTAACGAGGTGTCGCTCACTGATCGTTTCGGGGAAAAACGTCTAACTGCGGGTCGCACAGGTAGATGTGTGGCTTGCGCCGTGACAGCACTTACGACACTAACGCAATCTTCGCCATCAGTACCAATGTTACCAGCACGGCCCTCATCAACCTCCTTATTAGCTAACATCAGGAGGCTAACTGCTTCCTGGATGAGTAATGTTTTGCTCGAGCAACAAAAACTACAAAGCCAATGAGAGTTGGGCTTTGAGCACCTTTTATATGCAGTGGGGCTTAATCGGGCGCACATCTTATGGAACCACTTATTACACTCATCACATTGCATCCCTTTCTCCACGGGAAATAAGCAATATGATTGTCCACATTTATGAGCAGACCTAGCCATCTTGAAAATCAACTACAACGGTGACGCAAACAGGATATGTAAAAGGATTCTCAAACCTTAACTAAATAAATCATGTAAAAGTCGACCAAGTATGCTTCGATGCAATAAATACACAAAAGCAAAATCGAAACACTCAATACAATATCACTTCAACTGGGGTAAATGCAATTAAAGTGTAAACAGCAGTTTAGATGCATAATTTACGATCAGAACAGTTAATTAACTCAACGAGAAACAATACTATTGTCCTTTACAAATGAAGAACTAGTGTAAACTAGTTAATCTCTTCGCCTTATCTTCTTGGTGTTACGATGTGTTCACAGATATCTTGATGCTTTTAGTGTGTGCAGCCTAACAACACAGCTGAGTTCATCCAAATGAACTCGACTGTCCACCGACTAGTATTTCAGTTTCAGTTTGGAAAAGACAGTAGGCTAGGTGGCATGTGTTAGTCCAGCCCAGGTAAAAGATGATACATGGTTGTCAAAAGTACTCGTAGAGCTATCAGCCAAGGTGGTCACACCAGCTGAGAGGGCATTCCAGGTATGTGTAAATCTGCCTCGTTAGTAGCCTACTGATACAAAATTCGTCGTCTGATTCTCGCAAGGTTCTATCTTCAAGTTGGCCGAGATGTTTTGTTACGATGACC